AAAAACCAATGGAATGCATAAGAACCAATGATTGGACAAAATAATTAGTTTAACATAATTTACTAAGCAATAAGATTAATTTTTGAATGTTCAAATTAAAGTTGGCATTTAAGAAGTTATATTTATACCAAAATAATTCCAGGGAAGAGATAATAAGAGAATTAATGAAGGGAGTACAAACACTGATCATTAAAATACAAAAGAGGATATAAAATTTAACTTATTAAGAAAGAACTAGGTTTATGAGTTTATACCTTGAATAAGTTCAATGTTAATTTCAAAATGGAAGTAACTAGTGAATAATGTTTTTGTTTATAAAAGTCACCTGTTAAGAACACCAAACACTTTATGCTTTGGGAAGTCTAGCAAATTATGGTTGTATAGATGTGGCTGCATAGAGTGGCCCTATTAAAGGAATTGGCTGGGTCCACGGTAGGAAGAGTTGGGGAGCATTTCTAACTTTGGCCATTAGGTGACTGATCCAAAGAAGAGTCAGAACCTAGCCCTGGCCAGGGTGGCTCAGTTGGTTGAGCATCATATTGTGTACCAAAGAAGGTTTCTGGTTCCATAAAACACCCATTATTATATTGCAACACTTTCAAATACATTCTTCTTTTTTAACTCGTGAAATATTATTCAGCAATAAAAAAATAAAACCTTATCATCTACAACAACATGGATGAACATAGAGGGTGTTATGCTTAGTGAAATGAGTCAAACCGATAAACACAAAAAAACATACGATTTTACTTATATGTGGAATCTAAAATGTCAAAACAAACAGACAATACAGCACAAAGTGATGGTTGCCGGGAGCGGAAGTGGAGGTGCAGGGGGAGGAAGGTGAAGTACAGATTTCCAGTCACAAAGTAAATAGCCCTGCGGATGTAATGTACAGCACAGGGAATATAGTCCATCGTATCACAATAACTTGTACTGTGGCAGATGGTCACTAGACTTGTCATGGTGACCACATGATAAGGTATATAAATGTAAAATCACTCTGTTGTATACCTGAAGCTAATATACTATTGTATGTCAACTGTAATTTACTAAAAATATATTAAAAATAAATTTAAAACACACACACACACACACACACACACACACACACACACAATCCATTTCCATTGGGAATGGATTGCATGTGAAGTGAACACATCTAAATCACCCTGTCCTTGTCCAGGCTGAGGCTTGCAGCCCCTGTTGGGACTTAGGTATGAATGCTTTGTAACTCACCTGCCTCGCATGGTGCCTGAACATCCCACCCGTCACTCTGCGTTCAGCATTGTTCTTCCATAGACCTTGGAGGACCAGCACATGAATGGATAATGCCAATTTTCATGTCAGAATGGATTTCTGAAATTCAAATCATCCACCTGTCACATTGTTGTCGTGAAAATAATCCCCGTTTGGGAAATGAACAGAACTGAGTTTGAGTCTTCCTTTTCTGCTATTTAACTATGTCCTACTAAGCAAAGTACCCAACCTGAGACAGAGAATAAATGAAGGGAGTACAAACACTGATCATTAAAATACAAAAGAGGATATAAAATTTAACTTATTAAGAGGGACAATTTAAAATACATACTGAAAATGCTTAGCAAGCATCTGATACATGTTGATGCCCAAGAGATGGTCATTTTCTGTGGTTTCTTGGAAGTTCAAAAGGAAAATTTGAAGTATCTATAATAATAAAAGCATAATATGCTAATTAGACCGGATGTTCTTCTGAAGGAAGCTGATGTTGTGAGGGCAGAGCCCCTTGCATGAGTTTTGTGCATTGGGCCCCTAGTGTTTTAATAAGAATGGAACAAGTAGGCAGATTCCAGCAAGGACAGAATACTTCCTCTCATTTCTTAAATATCTCAACAGTTGATCAAGAACTATTTTTTTTCTCTCTCAAGATTGAAGAGACAAATTATTGAACTTGTGTTGCTGTTGTTTTTTTCTTATTTCTCTTTTCACTACCCAAGTCCAAATAGGGTTTCTGAATATCCCACTGCTACTTAAAATTCAATATGCCTAAAATGAAACATAATCTATTCCAACATGATTTTTTTTCTCATGAATTCTCCATGGCTATCAAAGGCATTAAGAGTCTTACAGTCTTCTACTATATTCAAATATTAGTTATCAATAAAATAGACTCACATAGTTATATAGGTATTGTGTGTGGAGTGGTAGATGGGGGGAGTCTCAGAAGTCATAATCCTCAAGGAAAATTTGGAACTATTGTACATGGGACTTTTGGATTATTCTAATGAGTAAAAGATATTACTCAAATTTAGTGGGAAGAGACCAGAGATGCTGAAATATTTATCATTCTAGGTATTAATACTTCATACAGAAGAATTGTGGAACCTAAAATATCATTATAGACCCCATTAAGAGATGCAAACAAAATCTGCCTCCGCAAATGCCTCCTGCTCATTTTCAACTTTCCATTCCTATCTTCATTGGACTAATAGTCTAAGCTTTCTATGACTTTGAATCATAGAATTTATTGTTTGAAGGAACTTGAAGATTATCTAGATGAGAGAACTTATGTAACTGCTTTCTTAACAAAGCTTAAGTTTGATCTCAGATCTGACTGTCACTCTATTTTCTGACTGATATCGTAATACTATCTAACTGCTCTCCACATTCAAATCTATCCTCTCCTGGAGGGAGCTGACCATTAAATCTTTTTTGTTATCTGCTTTTATTTATTTTAGAGAGAGAGAAAGGGAGAGGGAGAGAAAAATAGAAACATCAATGATGAGAGAGATACATCGATTGGCTGCCTCCTGCATGCCCCCTACTGGGGATCAAGCCCACAACCCGGGCATGTGCCCTGACCGGGAATCAAACCAGTGACCTCTTGGTACATGGGTTGACACCCAGCCATGGAGCCACATTGGCTAGGCTAAATCTTTTTAAAGAACCATTCTCAGAACATCACTTTTCAACCCCAAGCAACCCTCAGAGTTTCCCATCGCCTATTACGTACATCCTTAACCCGGCATTGTAGACCACCCATGATGTGAGCCAGCCAGCCCATTTAGTGTTATTTCATCCTCCTCGCCTGCCTTTTTCAAGTGACAAACTGTCCCACTGCTTAATTTCCAAGCTTTCCTTGGGCACTTTACATCTCTCCTCAAGCTGTTCCTTTTGCCTAAAATATTCTCCCTGTCAAAACTCTACGACATGCAAATGTCTTCTCCTCCATGAAGCTTTAAAAAATAATCTCCTCAATCAGATATAGTCTTTCTGTATCACCTCTAATCCTTTATAGCTTTTATTAGAATTATTATGGTATTACCTTTGAATAGTTTGTTCTATTTGAAACAGAGACTAATATGCATAACATTATGTATATCACTTTTGTTTTTTAATCTCTTCCATATTTTGCACAAATAAGGTAGACTGAAAATTTTGGAGACACACAAATATCTAGCACCCAGTGTGGGGAATCCAAAGAAAATTAAAAGCTTTCCCCTCGTCTAGTCATTTTATAAAAGTTTTAAAGGGCTTCTCATCTATAGTTTAACACTTCTTTCAACACTAGAATTGAAATTCACTGAAAATGTGCTTCAATTTCAAAGAAAACAGAAAAGAATGATACTATCCCTGTTGCCCTCAATAAAAGCCTCATTTATCTTTGTCATCTATCCCATGCTTTCAGCAGTCAGGATGGAAGTCTCATTAATAAAAATCAGAGCAGATCTTCTACCTTGTAGATAAAAACTACTAAAGTACCCTAAAGACAATGACACTGCAAATGATAGCATGGAGAATAAAGATGCTGAATTGGCACAAATGGTGGATTTCTGACCATACTTGTAGGACAAGATGTTTATAAAAATTATTCTATTGTTGATACTATTGTAATTAGCTAGTTATTAATAGCAGGAAAGGAGCAGAGGGAAATTCAGACGTTATAGGCATCTTCCCTGCAGAAGACTAGGGGAGGGATCCAACAAAAGGAAGATAAACGCATGCCCAGTAAAGTTGGGGTGACACAGGGAAGGTGCTTACTGTCAGTCACACCTAGGAGCAGAGGTCATTGGCCAGAATGGGCATTGCCACTGCAAAGGCATGGACCTTTGGGAAAATAGAATCCCCTAAGCAAAGAAGGTCACTCCCTTGCAGCACTGTGTTTAACTCCTGGCCTGTGGGCCCTTTTGCTCCTCTTCTTGGCGTTCACTAGTTTGGTCCAAGGCCATGCCAACTCCACCCACAATGGACTAATGGGCTGCAGCTAGCATGGACTAATGGTGCTTCACTGGACGAGGCTCCAACATGAAAAGGAAACTCTGGACACCGGCTCTGATTTGAGCTCTACTGAAAACTCAGCTCCTATGACTGGACCAAGGGAAACAGGACTCTGGAAATGCAGGGATTGAGTTCCACTGGAATAAAAATCATTTGTTCTCTTGTGCGAGTCTAAGAACATCCCTTTCGTCTGGAAATCAACAAGGACTCCATCCCCAACAGCAATTGGGGAAGACAGGCATGTTCTTCTCCAGTAACATCATCACTGCATGTAACATGCAGTAACATCATCACTGCATGCCCTGAGCTTGGTTAGGAAGGTAGCCAGGAAGGTAGAGCTGGGGATTAGAGTCTAGTTTTTGTTTGTTTGTTTGTTTGTTTGTTTTTAATACTAATCACTCACATAATGAATATGCATAAAGGATTCCATGCTATAATTTAATATTTTCCTACAAAAAAAATGATACATTCATCTTTGAAGTTACTGTACAAAATTCAGAAAGCTGTGTTGCTTTAATATGCAATTTATGTAACATACCCTCCAAAGCTTACTCTCTGAATTTTAGAAATTTTTGGTGTTTGTGTTCTACGTAGCATGTTATTTTATTTATTGTGCCATGAGATATTAGGTTGCCTTGTTTGTGTTGCCTCACGCTTAGAGCTCAGCAGCAAACAGTTGATTTGAAGAATTATTCTACACTTCGCTAATAGCTCACATTATTTTCTGCATGTTCTTTTTGTAGGAAAGGTTACAGCACTTCCCTGCTGGATGCGCCATCGAGTCTTGTTTACTGTAACCAGAAGAGAGAATTTCCAAACAAGCCCTGGTTGTTGACAGCACTCGGAGAAGCATGTGGCCTGCCATCCCGGTCTCTGTCAAGCCCGGGCCCCACCTGCCTCCTGGCTCTGGCTTACACTGGTGAGTTTGGCCACAACGCAAGTGTGAGAGCATGAGAGTGTGAGATGCCGCAGGCCAGGTGACATGCCAGTGCCGCAGCGCGGGTAGATGGCAGGGCATCTTTGTGTACATACAAAGGCCACATGCCACACCAAAATGTGGCAGCCACTTCTCCCAAATCAAATGGATAATATTTCTTTCATTATGTTCTCACAAACGTGTTGTAAAACAATAAGACTTGAGCTACACTAAGTCCATATTTCGGGATTTCAAATGAATGGCAAGTGAATATTCATGTTTATCTCTGAGTTGATTGACAGGTAGGACTTAAAAAAAAAAATGTTTGCCCTGATCAGGTGGTTCGGTTGGTTGGAATGTCCTCCTGCATACCCAAGAGGCTTGCGGGTTCCAGTCCAGATCAGGGCACATACCTAGGTTGCAGGTTATATCTCTGGTTGGTTGTGTACAAGAGGCAACTAATCCATGTTTCTCACATCAATGTTCCTCTCTCTCTCTCTCTCTCTCTCTCTCTCTCTCTCTCTCTCTCTCTCTCTCTCTCTCATCCTTCCCTTCTCTCTAAAATCAATAAAAACATCTCTTCTGGTGAGGATTAAAAAACAAAACAAAACAAACAAAAGACCATGCTTACCCTGGCCAGGCACCTCAGATGGTTACAGCATTATCCCGGTATGCCAAGGTTGGGTTCCATCTCCAATCAGGGCACATACAAAAAGCAATCAATGAGTACATAAAAAGTGGAATAACAAATTGATATATCTCTTCCTCCCTCCCTCCCTCCCTCCCTCCCTCCCTTCCTACCTTTCTCCCTCCCATCCTCCCTCCCTGTCTCTAAAATCAATTAAAAATACAACATGCTTATGTATGATTTAAGAATTACCTTTTCAAAGCAACAGAAATCATCACATAGCCAAGTGCTTCAGAGCAGCAAGTAGCTTTTTTATTTTTCAATCTAATAAAGCAGTAAAGAACTTACTAGAAAAAACAGTATAGGATCTCATACAGTTCCTCCTAGTTGCCTCAGAATTTGTACTTCTATATGCTGTCACCAGGTCCATGCTGCTAATGTGACTGCAGTTGAATTTATTTCAAGTGTTAGCAGAAAAGGATGAGGGGGAAAGTTACACTTTAAAAATTCGGTTGAGTCTAGTGTGGGTTATAGCATTCATAAATGTGCTATATCAGGAAACTCAAGGTGTTCTCTGAGTCCTGACTATACTGCTGAATAAGTATGTGAACATAAAAGTTAAATAAAATTTCTATGGTATATATTTTTCATCTTAAAAATGGAAGACCCAACCCAAGGCCAAAATACTTCCGAAATTTTTGAAGAGTTGCTAATGAGGAACTCAGAAATCCTGAAAGACGCTAAAGGGCTTTTGCCTCTGCTATCCAAATTTTAAGTAAAATAATTGTGAAATGTGTGACTATTAGAATTTTTTCCAGCATAATATATTTTTAAACTTACATTATTTAAATCTCTTTAATTTTTTAACTATTTAGTTGCAAACCATGAACTTCCTAGGAGCAGAATACATCTAGTTATATTCTTCGTAATAGATTTTACAGATAAGAAGTGAAGCACAGAGGGATTAAAAAAAACCCGAAAAGTATATTAATATGTGGAGAGCTGTAAGATTTCATTCTGTAATTTACACTTACATCCTACAGTTTGTGACTCTCACAACTACTCCCTAATGTTCCTGAAATAACCCACCAAATTTCAATGTGGAAATAAGAGTATTCTACAGGACCATAGTCCAGAATTTATTGTCCTATAAATTAGAGCACAATAATTTATAGTCCAGTTTTATATCAATGGACTCCTGGTGCTTTTGTGGCAGCCAAGTCCTTTTCCCCTTCATCAGGAAAACAGCATCTTCATTGTTCGCATCAAAGAAAGGCCACTGATACTGCGCTAAGTACGCTTACAATGTTATGCGGTCCTTCAGGGAGTTTATTTATTCCCATTCTGTGTGCCTAGTAGATTATTGCTTATAAAAAGTTATGCTTCCCCTGAGAACAATAGAGAAAAGTCCCAGTTATCTTTACCCAAATTCTGGGCCATTTCGAGCATCTTTTAAGCCCAGTGTTTGAATAGGAATGTCATCTGTTTGAAATAGCCTGCCAGAATAGATTTAAATCCAGGCACTGCCTCTTGAATAAGGAGGCTCAGAGAGCAGGGAGGGGAATCTTGAGACCTTGTGGAGACAGCTTTTATTAGAGCGTAAGTATTAGTATTCAACAGGGTGATTTTGAAGACTGAATCTTTAAGCAGAATATTCAGATGTGGCTGCTATACTCTATGTTTGTTGTCTTTTTTTTTTTTTTTTTTAAGTCCAACACTGAGAAGGTGTTCCTCACTGCACTGTATATATCTCAGTAGGGAATCTACAGAAAGAAGTACATTACCTGGTTTAAACATATTGATTTTCTATGCAAATACCACCATTTGGAGGATGATGATACCTCTAAAATATTTTACTGGTACGGATGCAAAATTGTAAATCAAGAAAAAAATAACCCGCAGATAAATAACAAATGTTCCCTGGCATTTTCTCCCCCTTCTTCCTTTGTTCTTGATTTTATATTAATTTCAGGTCCTAGTTCTATAATTTTCAAAGCGGTGCTCTGGATAACACTGGCACGATACAGTGTGATTACAGTATTATTGACTCTATTCCCTGTGCTGAGCCTCAAATCCCCAGGACTGTTTTGAAGCTACCAATTTGCACTTCTTAATCCCTTTACCCACCCACCCCCCCAGGCCTCTCCCTACTGGCAACTCTCAATTGGTTCTCTGCGTCTCTGAATCTGTTTCTGTTTAGTTTGCTCGTTTATTTTGTTCTGTAGAGCTCATATATAAGTGAAATCATATGGCATTTATTGTTCCCTGTCTGACTTATTTTGCCTGGTGTAATATCCTCTCACTCCATCCACGTTGTCACAAAAGGTAAGATTTTACTATTTTGCATTTTTTAAATGTTTAGTTTTCAATTACAGTTTACTGTCAATATTATTTTGTATGGTTGTAGGTAGGTTTGTGGTTCCAAGGAGTGTATAAGGCCCATGAAACCAGTAGGTCTGGCCCTGCCAAGGCATTAGAGGTGAGTTAATTAAGTATTTGATTAAATACAGCAGGCTAATGTTTAAGTTGATAATTTTGTATGACCCATAAATGATGTTATAAATATCCAAATAGCCCTTGGCAGAAAAAAGGGTCCCCACCCCTCAGTTTAAGGTGTGTATGATAGCGGTTACACAAACATACTTTGCCAAGTGCTCCCCCTGATATTGTCAGTACCCACCTGGCATCATACATAGTTATCACGTTATTAATTATATATTGTCTAAGATTTCATCCTTTTTTCTTTTATGGTTGGATAACATTCCATTGTATACATGTACCACAGCTTTTAAAAATATATATATTTTTATTGATTTTTTTTACAAAGAGGAAGAGAGAGGAATAGAGAGTTAGAAACATCAATGAGAGAATCATCGATCAGCTGCCTCTTGTACACCCCCTACTGGGGATGTGCCTGCAACCAAGGTACATGCCCTTGACCAGAATCGAACCTGGGACCCTTGAGTCCTCAGGCTGATGCTCTATCCACTGAGCCAAACCGGTTTTGGCTACCACAGCTTTTTAACCCACTTACCTATTGATAAAAACATGGGTTGCTTCCTTATCTTGGCTATCATAAATGACATTGCCATAAACACAGGGGTGTAGATAGTCTTTGAAATTTGCATTTTGGTTTTCTTCAGATATATACTCAGGAGTAGAATTGTTGGTCCTAAGGCAGTTCCATTTTTAGTTTTCTGAGGAAGCTCCATGGTGTTTTCCATAGTGTAACCTGTTCATGGGTGTGAGGGTTCTTCTCCCCACAGACTCACCAAAACTTGGTTGTTGATTTGTTGATAATAGCCGTTCTGACAGGTGTGAGATGGTTCTCATTTTGGTTTTAATTTGCATTTCTCTGATTATTTTAATGCCATTAAACATCTTTTCATATGTCTATTGACCACCTCTACTTCCTCTTTGGAGGCCTGTCTATTCAAGTCCTCTGCCCGTATTTTAATTGGATTGTTTGTTTGTTTTGGTGCTGAGTTGTATGCATTCTTTATAAATTTTGAATATGACTCCTATTATTTGATGTATCATTGCTGAGTATCTTCCTCTATACCCAACCCCTACCCCACACTTGAGAAATACTCTTAATAAAATATGAAGTAAGATTAATTGATTGTTCCATATATCAAGCACCCAAATGAAAACTATTTAAAATGTAGCAAACATTAAAAAATGTAGATAAAGATAAATCGGAGAGATACTTTGTTTGAGAAATGAATACTAAGGAAAAATCAAGTGATCTCTGATAAACAGGAAATTGATACCAATATGAAACATAAAGATTTCTAAATCAAATTACTCCATCAAAAAGACAATAACCCTGGGCTTTTGTTTGTTGTGTTGTTTTATTTATTTTATTTTATTTTTAAAATCTTTATTGTTGGAAGTTTTATGTCCCTCTTTCTTCCCCTTTGACCCCTTCTAACCCAACCCTGGCCCCTGGCCCAGGCCTTCACCATCAACATTTCAATAATTTTGAGAATTATTTCTGATTCTCAAAGTTTTAAAAAAATTGTATTATGCTCAAAATACATATAAATAACACTTAGGAGGCATTTATAAAGCACCAAGTAATAGTAAATTTCCTACATTTCATTAGAAGACTGTTTTAACCCAGTTCACAGGACATCAAGATTGATAAAACAAACAAACAAACAAAAAACACACAAATATTATTTTATATAAATATGTTCTTACATTAACTATATGACTTGCTAAACCATACATGGAATTCATTATTTATTTTTTTTATAAATCCTCACCCAAGGATATTTTTCCATTAATTTTTAGAGAGAGTGGGAGGAAGGGAGGAAAGGAAGAAGAGAAAAAGAAAGAGAGAGAAAGAGAGAGAGATCATTTGGTTGCCTCTCACACTCACCCAGACCAACCAGGAAGGGATAGAACCTGAAACCCAAGTATGTGCCCTTGACCAGGAATTGAACCCATGACCCTTTGGTGCAGGGGCCAATCCTCTAACCATAGAGAAACAAAGACCAGGGCCACATAGAAATTTAAAAAGAGAAAGATATTTTTCTTTGTTCTGAAAAGATGACCACACATGTACTTTAGTGAATTGAAAACAGCTATGAAGTCTTTGGCATAGGCAAATTTTTTGAAAGATTATATCTATACAATCTGGGTTTTGATTCAATTATCATTAACCATTTGCATATAAATATAAAAATATGTTGAACTGCTTCAAAATATTTTTAAAAGTTGAGATATTAACCCCTTGAATTGAGTGTTCT